TATATTCTAAGATAGCAAGAAAAGAAACTCAGACTAGTTTATCTGTGGCCTAAACTAAAGCAAGAAAATTTTTTTGTTAGAATATTGAAGATAGTTTCATAGCCAAATTTTTGAGATATTGGCATTTTTTGAAAAAAAATCTTTATTGTTATTATACAAACTAATTTGCATATTACATCTGATCTAGCAAATTTATTGGCTAATTATATACTGGTAATATCACTACTAATTATGATTAGCAAAAATAAAAAAAGCAGATTTATAAGCAAAATTTTAAATTAAAAAATTTTTTAAAAAATCAAAATTGGTTTAATTTTTATATTATATTTAATTTTATATTCTAATTAATTAATTAGTTAGCAATATATTATGTTAGCAATAAATATCAGAAATAATACTAATAATACTAAAATTAGATATTACTAAAATTTGCTTATTTTATTATAAAAATTTGAAATTTTTTCAAAATATTTTGTTTAGCTTTTTTTTATAATTTAATTAAAATTTAAAATTAAGGTAGTATTATTTATTATCTGATTATTTTTTATTAGAAACTTATCTTTTTTTCTTTTTTAATATATAAAAAATTAGATTCTTATATATAATTTTAACTTTTTTACATCTCTTTTTCTTAAAAAATTACCTGATTTTTGTTATATTCCTTAGTATTTATAATAAAAGAGTATAGATAAATTTTAATAGAGTTTATTTTTCAAATTAAAACTTTAAATTTTAGTATTATCTAATTTCAATATTATTCTAATAATAAATAATAACTCTTTATTTTATAAATAGTTTAAAAATATAAAATAATAAATATATTTTATATTTTAGATAAAATTAGTCAAATTAATACAAAGGTTAGAACTAAAAAATTTTAATAGAGAATTTATAAATGAAGTTTAAATATAGTACAGTCAACTCTTTTTAAACTGAACTTTTTTAAACTGAACACTTAATAAATTCTCTGAGAACTGAACGAAAAGCTCTAAAACATTTGTAAATTTTATTATAAAGTTCGGATTAGCAATATATAACTCTTTGAGAACTGAATTTTTAAAAATTTTTACATATAAAATTCCTTAAGTACATTTTTTTGTAGAATAAACAGAGTTGACTGTATATAGTAGATAACTATAATAATATAGCAAACCTTTTAAATAGACAATAATTAAAATTATATATATGGGTGCTTTTCAATAGAAAAGAAAGAAAAAGTTTTTATTAATATTTTTTAAATTTTAAATTAAAATATCTTAATAACTACTAAATTAAATTTAATAAAAAAATTTTTTAATTTTATAATTTTATAAAATTAAAATAAAAAAAAATTATTAAATTTAATTTAATAGTTATTAAGATATTTTAATTTAAAGTTTAAAAAATTTTTATTTAGAAGAAATCTTCCTCATTTCTATTGAAAAACCCCTATATAATTATATACTATATATTTTTGTTAAGATACAATATATATAAAATTTTTAAAAACTACTATAACTCAAAAACTAATAAAATCAATAAACCAAAAAAGCTAGCTTTAACTAAAAAAAAATAAAATAAAAAAAATAAAACAAAGTGCTATTAATTTTATATATAGTTTATAGATAATACTCTCTATAATTTTTAAAAAATATAAATTAGGCTATACAAAAACTTTTTTTGGTTTTTATAACATAGAACTGTTTAAACAGACCCAGCCGGCGGCCTTTTTTTTTTTAAATTTTATATATAAAGATTTTATAAAAATTTTTTGAAAAACCCGCCCGGTTATTAAAACAAAAAATTTTTTTTATCAAGTTTTCAAATTTTGACCCGGCCGGATTATAAAAACAAAAAATTTTTTTTACATGGCCTTATAAGCAAATTTATAATTTTTTAGATATAAATTTATAAACTTATTAATTAATAAATATATATACAAATATATATACGTATATATCTATATATATTTATATAGTTTGCCACTGCCTACATACATACAGTACCCAGGTTCTTATTTGTTAAATTGAATACGTAGTACCGGGTATTATTCACAAATCCAGTGATCTCATTGGTGGAGAATGGGTATACATATGCTTAAATATACATATATATAATATATACGTATACATACACGTATTTGACGTAGACCGATTTGCTTATGATTCAAAAATTTGTACGTACGTATATAAAAAATGCACCACAATAATATTCATATACGTACGTACGTACGTACATACCTGATACAATAAATTGGTGATTGATAGTTAAATAATCGAAAAATGACTGCGAAGTATAGTCAATCGTATACAATTTTTACAATAAGTTAGTAGGGGGAGAGTCGGGTACATTCTTATCGGTATCTTATCGATTCATCAGTTTGTGTTCCGTGTAACGTCTACAACTGATCACTTATCTTATATATCTGCAGGACTTTTAATAATGAATTGTTGCATGAGTTTTCGTTTGACTTTGTATTTGTTTTTTTAAAAGATAAAACGCGTTATAATGACATTTATTCAAAAGAGAAAGCCTACTTCTTATTCCAATGCATCTGACCCATCTTCGGTTTCTTTTACTATACTACCTAGTCCTTTTCAAACAGTGCTAATTGTTAGTGCCGAGCAACTTCAGCAAGCCTCTCAAAGAGTCGCCGAAATCGACAATGAAGTGCGAAATGCCGAAAGTAAGAGCTTAATAAACATTTAATTAATTAAGTATGTTTAGCTTACAAAGAAACCAATATAAATTTTAT